TTATAATTATATATATATAAATAATTAATTATTTTACCCTCATGCCATCTGGACTAGTTGAATAGTCAACGGGCTCGCAAATAAATTTATATTTCGATAACCATCCTATTGAAATACACTGTAAGCATACAACACATAAATCATATATATATATATATTCCGAAAAATAAATTTGACTGTAACCAACCCCGTAGCCCTCTGTATATTGTACGATTTTTTTTTTTTTCTTTCAAAAACTTTTCAATAATATAATACTTACTAAATAAAAAATGAATACATTTAAGAAAATTTGTATAATATTATATGCTGTCAATATTTTGTCCAAATTGTATGGTTTTCTTCTTTTCATAAATGCAGGTCCAATTACACAAACAATACTTAAATAAACAGCTGCTATACCAATAACGTTCCATATTGATTTAGTAATAATCCAATCTTTCACTCTATGTTCTAAAAAAAAAAAATCAACAACAATTTTTCTATCGTTTTTTTCTTCTTCTTTTTATTAATTGTTTATTACACGTGTTTCAACGATTAAAATGATTGAGTTTAATAAATTATTTACGTTGGATGTTGACGCGTACACGCAGACAGACAAAAAAGACAGACAGACAAAAAAGACAGACATACAGACATACAGACAGACAGACAAAAAAATGAAAATAAATGTTTGAATTAAAATAATTATAAACTTATATTACCTCCTAATGTAGATATTTTATAAAGCTCGTCGTATATATAATCTACTAAAACCATCATGATGAATGATATTTATTTAACGCACGAAAATACGTGGATTTATGAAAGTTAATGATATGTCTCTGTGCGCGTGTGTGTGTGTGTATATATATGCGTGTGGTGTTTAAAATAAAATAATTAATTGTAATATGAAATAAAATATATCAATTGAAAGATTTGAATATTGTTTCGTTGAATAATCGAAATCATTTGTTTTGAAAAAATCGATAATTATTACTTATTTGTCATGAGTGTGTTACTTTACGTTTCTTATCCTATGTTTTATTTTTCTTTTTTATTTTTATAATATTTTAAATTAGAGAAAGATTAACAAACAAGAGAGAAAAAAAGAAAAAAAGACCATGCAATGCAATGCGAATAAAGAAAAAAGAAACAATAGAACAAACTATCACCAATGGTTTAAAGTATACTGAGCTTATTTTATACTTGATTCTACTAACGTTAATGTTAGACTTTGTACTTTAATGAGAGAATTCCTCCAATGAAAATCATTATTCATACATTTCGTTTTTAATTAAATCGTTACAGTATAAATTTAAACACATACGTATATTATTATAATGAGGAATAAATAAAGCAGCCGAAAGAATAATTAATAGCATTGTCACATCCTTATTATTGACGAAAGAAAGAAAGAAAGAAAGTAAAAGAATTAAAATAAAAAAAAAGTCAACTAATCGGATTCATTTTAAACGTCAGTAAGTAACCGGTCGTTAGAAAAATCACACGATCACAAACTCTAGTTTGTTTGTTTGTTTTTTTTTTTTTTTAATTCCTTTTCCTTTTTCGAAATTAATTTTATACGCGCGTGCACTCATACACAAACGTATACACACGCACGCGCGCACACACACACAAACACACGTTTTTCTAGGAATTGTAATATTTGTAATTTTAACTGCGACTTTAATATAATTAACTTGGGATACCTTTTGTTCAAGTGTCAATAAATTTTCTTACTAATAATTAAAGAAGGTACACAATTAGAAAATAACTTTTGACAAATTTTTCGCAATTGTTGCAATAAACTCTCGGGGTACATAATATTTCATTGAAGTTATATTTTTTTTTTTTTAGATCTCCTTGTTTGTTTTTTTTTGTTCTGACAATTATGGTTGTTGTAATTGAAGAGCATGGGACATGATTTCACTAGAATTTTCACTAGAATTTTCACCAGGAAAAATGAAGTGTAATTACTGTTGAATCATCAGCAGAAAATTTAAAAATTGTTGCACCTTCAGTGATCTTCTGCTGACAGATAATAACAGATTATACAAATAACTAATTATTATTATCATAAAACATGAAAACAAAATTGAATATTGCATTTTCATGAAAATTTTTCGTTAGAGCAACAGAAAGAAAAAAAGAAAAAAAAGGTAAAATTTTGTTGGCTACTAATAATGAAATAAATGTTCATATTATATAGACACAAAATATGTTCACAATGTTATTAACAAATTGATAATTATATTATAATAAAATAAGATTTAAGTTGATATTGTTTTTTTTTTTTTTTTTTTTGTACAATTTAAATTAAAATAAATTTTTCCCTTGAAATTATTTAACAATCAAAAAGTGTACTGAAATTACTATGAACATAGTACATTAGTATATAACGTATTATATTAATTAATAATAAAATGTAAGTAATTAATTTTCAATTTTTTTTCCCCTCACGAGATTTATTTGTTATAAATCATTAAAAATAATATTATTTTCATCTCGTTCAATAAAACATAAATTCTTC